GTCTTAAAGGGGTCATAGGATGCCCATTTTCCACAAGTTTATATGATTCTTTAGGGTCTTAATGAAAGTCTGTAACATAGTTTGGTTAAAATTTCTCAATGGTAGTGTAAAAAACACCCTTTTTACCCTGTCAAAAACAGCTCTTTTCAGAGCACGCCGTTTTTGTAGCATTTTCCTTTAAATGTTAATGAGCTCTGCTGACCCCGCCCCTCTCTTCCGAGCTGCTCTCAGAGAGACTGTTTACTTTAGCTGCATTCATCGTGAAACTTGCTAATTAGCACATTATTAGGAAAGGCGATTTGCAAAGATTCATTATAAAACATTATACTCACTTCTTCTGTAGATGAGGCTGGATCATGAATGATTCGCGCGAACATAGACGCATTTATGTAGATCGGGGGCGCATTCCCTTCAGAAACAAAGATAATCCTCTGCGTCTTCAGCGGCTCAGATGTCGGGAGTAAATGACGACTGCTATGTTCATTATTACTTCCAACAACAGAACACCTCAATCGCTTAGGAGTCATTCTTGTCTACATCTGCTCCGGTGGTGAAACAATGGCGGACTGATGACAGCTCACTCAGGGCGGGTCTTAGGTAAGACGCCAGTCCAGTCTGTGCTGAAACGCTACTGTCAATCAAACTATCGTGGGAGGGGCCTGTTTTTGTGATGTCACACAGACAGGCATCTGAGATCAGCTCGATTTGAGAAAGGGGTAAAGATAAGGGTTATCATGATCCCCTGACATGTCCAGACATGTCATCGTCATGTTTTATGAAGGCTTTCCATAGGGACAATTAAATTAAATTCACATTAATTTTTTATAACTTTTTCACAAAACAAATTGCCGCAACGCAGTTTCACAGAAAAATTTAAATTTCTACATTATATTTAGAACCTTTTATATTCATATTTACATTATATTAATGATTTTTATACAGTATCACCACCTAAACCTACCATCACAGTAAACATTCTAAATTTTTATATTTTCATAAACATAATTTAATGTTCATCGGGGTAAATTTTGCACAGGTCAATCATTTTGAGTATTACTATACATCTGGTTAACGGGGACACTCCATAGGCATAATGACTTTATTACTGTACACACTGTACACCTACCATCACACAAAAATTCTGCATGTGCTTACATTTTTAATTAAATATAGTTTTTAAGCGATCTGAATTATGACGACTCAAAAAATTTCATCATAAACCACATTTACCTTGTTATATCAGTGTAATACTCATGTCATTATACAAATTTGTGTTCTGATAAATCATATAAACAAGCACACACATACATAAAAATTACAAACTAAAAGAGACTTGTCCCCATTTTAAAGAATATGACAGCATGTTACTAAAGCAAATCATTCATTTTAAACAAGTATTCAACATTTAAAGTTTATTGAATTTATAAACAACATCGTAGTAACAACCATGTTACTAAAGCAAGGCAAATCATTTATCATACATTTTAATCATGTATTCAACATTTTATTTATGTTTATTGAACTTATAAAACGCATTTTAAACGAAAATTTTAGTTTTTCACTAACTACGCGGAAACGTTGTTTTCGCAAAAACACAAACATGTACATTCATGCTGCTCACATATTATTGTAGCACAGCTTGTGTTGAATACAGTATAATCAGACTTAGCCATTAATATATTTTTATAATACTGAAAAACACAAATGTCAGGGCATGTCAAAACATCTCCAGTGCACCAGTGATTATACATAACATACTTTATAAAAACATAACATATTTTATAAAAATAAACATTTACTATAGTTTCATTTGACAATAAAAATGCTTTACATTATTCTGGGGCCAATGACGTTCATACGTTCCAATGAAATGTTTACAAAATGTACATAAGTTGGAAAATTCAATCCTGCTTTGAGCTCTTCTCACTAACAGGAGTGAAATGTTAGTCTGAGGCGGTCGTGCTGACACACACACACACACACACACATGTGAGCGCACACGTTGTTTTTTATGTTTTTTATGTTTCTGGGGATGTTCCATAGGTGTAATGATTTTGTACTGTACAAACTGTACACCTACCCATCACACAAAAATTTCTGCATATTTCAATTTTTTTAAATAAAATATTGCTTGTAAGTATTTTAATTATGAGGACTCATGAAATATCCTCAAACACATTTACGTTGTTATATCAGTGTAATACACATGTCATTATACAAATTTGTGTTCTGATAAATCATATAAACAAGCATGCACATACATAAACATTTCGAGCTAAAGAGAGACTTATCTCTATTTTAA